AAAAATTGTCCAAACACAGTCTGGGGACTATTTTTTGAATATGTTGTTGACCTTTTTGGGGCACTTTTGCGGTATTGATTATTTTTCGTCGAAAATCCCCCTGTATGGGGGACACGCCCGACTTAAACCCTGACCCCAAAAACGTGTCCATCTCTTGGGGGCTTCGCTCGAAGCGCTGCCTGAAACAGTGGTCCAGGTCCACACGCGTCGGGTTTCGGAGACCCTGACCCTAAAGACGTGTTCATCGCTTGGGGGCTTCGCTCGAAGCGCTGTCTGAAACGGTGGTCCAGGTCCACGCGTGTCGGGTTTCGGAGGCCCTGACCCCCCCAAAGAAGTCCATCTCCTGGGGGCGCACTTCTCACTTCCGCCCCGTTTCCGCCGCCCTTCCGCCGGCTCTTCCGCCGGCGGAGGCGGCCTCGTTCTACTTCCGCCGACCTTCCGCCGCCCTGCTGCCGCCTTCCGCCGCGGAAGAGATGTCAACTCCTTATACTCGCGAAGTCAAGGCCCACTTTGGAACGCCCCATATACGACCAGGCTTCGAAGAAAATCAACTCCAAGAAAACGCCCAGAATCCAGTCTTCGCTCGAAGCGTTGTCTGAGACAGCAGTCCAGGTCCACATGTACGACCAGGCTGCGAAGAACATAAGCTCCAAGAAAACGCCCGGAATCCTGTCTTCGTTCGAAGCGTGCTGTCGGAAACAGCAGCCCAGGTCCAAATAAACGACCAGGCTACGAAGAGAAGAAGCTCCAAGAAAACGCCCACGGCCCAGTCCTGATGCTTGGTCTTTTTGAGCGGAATCTGGAGCCCACGAACTTGCACGCTTTTTCTTAGGATTTCTGATCGGTGTATGGGTGTACAGTAGAAGATCGACCACAGTAAACATTCCACAAGAAACCCAACCCTGAGACCCCATGACGTCCATGGATTTTTGGTGTGGGAACGTCGCGCTCTCCATGGCAAAACCATCGGGATCCAAGAAACCCCCGGCACCCTGGAGGCAAGCAGGGTGCTTCTTGGCATGGGCCTCCACTGTATAGTTGGTGCCCTCCGAGCGACCGCCTCGTCGGGGGGGTCGTCATCGCAGCCGTAGGTCAGGTTCGCGCGGAGGGACGTGGAGAAGACGCGCGGGTGCTGATCGACGAGAGACAAAACAAAGTGGGCATGAGCACAAACCTTCGGAGCTCCGCGCGGGTTTCTTGGATCGAAGGCCAGGGATCCCCACCTTGGCGCGCGGCCCGGGGGCGGCGCCGGAGGGGCCGCCAGGGAGCCCGCTCGCCGATGCGAGAATTTCGCGCGGAGCTCCGAACATGTGAGTTCATGCCGTTGTTTAGTCCTCGAGATCAACCACGCTCAGCTGCCTCCGGAGCCACGACGGACTCAGCTCACGGATGTCCCTGCCGTCCAGCAGTATTCTACCAGCCGTCGGGTCGTAAAACCGCTGCAGCAGCTTGAAGATCGTGCTTTTGCCGCCGCCTGTCGCGCCTGTAATCGCGCACGTCGTGCCAGCACCAACCTCAAAGCTCATGTCCTTGATGGTCCGCCGGCCCTCCTCGTAGCCGAACTCCACGCCCTCGAAGGCAATCGCTCCAGAGGCGCGGCCCTCAGGGACGACGCCGCCCTCGAGGCCGATTGTGGGCCCGGTGGTGATGATCTCCCAGGCCCGCGCCAGCGGGAATATGTTGTCTCTCGCGTCGAGAGCGGCCGACAGGAGCTTCTGGGCCGAGGCCCCGATGCTCTCGGCCATCGTCCTCGTGGCATCGAAGTCCACGACCTCAAGCTCCCCCCGCTTCACGAGCTGAGCAGAGCAGACGAGGGACCCCAGCGGCACAAGCTGCTCATACAGTAAGAAGAAGGGAGCCAGCATCAGGTAGACAACTGACTTCCGATGATCCTTGCGCATGTTGTGCTGCCAGAACATATCCCAGTGCTTCAGAGTTCGCCCCTCCGCTGTGTTGGAGCGCACGGTGGACAGGTTTTCTGGCACCAGCGGCTCGATCCACTGCAGTTCCACCTTCACCGCTTCGCGCTCCATCCTCTCCTGCACCCTGCCAACCAGCCAGCGGACCACCTGCTCAAGCACCTGGGACCCCCACTTCAGAGCAACCAAGAAAGAAAGCAGGCTGGAGCTGTTCCGGTACGCCACGATAGCCTGTCCCACAGTGCTCGCCGCAACCTCGATAGAGGACGTGACAGCACCAAGCACTCCTTTGACCTGCTCGGGCATCTTGAAGATTTGGTCAAAAATTGCCCTGACGTCCCGTTGATCCCGCTGACCGAGGCGATACCAGCTGAAGTCCTGACGCAGCAGTGCGGCGTACATCATCGTGCGCAGGCTGTGCTCCAGCCCACTCTGCCCCACCATCTTCACGCGGTCGCACAGGTGCCACAGAATCCAACGGACGATGCGGACGCCAACCAGGGCTTTGAACTTCCGCCTCCAGGTTGCCCACTCGAAGCTCCTCGTCCTCGTCAGCTCAACGATCTCGTACCTGTACACCACGTCCGCCACCTTCCGAAAGAAATGGCGCACAATGGAATTGATTTGCTGGGGGCAAAGCATCCACGCGACCTCAGCCAGCCTATTGGTGATGCTCGAGCGGGTTTCACTCCGACGCCTGGCGGACCACTACTGTCTGCAAATCTGGCCCACTGGAAATCCTCTGGCTGCCCACGTGTCCGATCCAGCCGACTCGACCCCCGACCGACTCGAGCTGTGAGAAACACCACGACGGAAAATGTTTAGGCATCTTCGGCCTCGGTGGGCCCTCACCCAATCCCCGGGACCGTCGAGCACCCACTCGGGATGCAAGGCCAGTCCTGGGGAAAGGGTCCAGATCTCCGGTGGCTCACGCTCTGCAAAACAACAAAAAAAACACGACGTTCGAACTTTGTTTCTTCGATCGGTGTCACTCAGATTTCGCTTCCCATCCCAAGTCTGTTGTCAGGCCGTGGGGGCCGGGCCAGGGGCCGAATGTGGTGAGAAATCGCGGGGCGAGAGTCTCGAGATGCCGGAAGGTCTGGGCTTCTTGAGGGTCCCTAGACACGACGCGGCGACAGACCGTGCGGTGACCTCGGCATTCCCAAAGACCTCACTCTCTGCACGGCCCATCACCGCAAGGCTATGCATTGGATTAAGTAAACATGAGGTGAGCCATGTGTACTGGGCATTCCAGCAAGTCTTAGGTTCGTGGTCAATTTACACTCGAAGTGTTGATTGTTGTTTTTTGTGTAACTTGACTCTCTGATTCACCAAACGGTGTGGCCACCGCACCGCTTGGAGAGGCCCCCCCCCGACCCTGCTCCGTTGGCTTCCCTTTTCACTGGGCAGCTCGCCCAAGAATCGCTACCGTGTGGGGCGCCGCGGAACCTTTTCACAATGTGGGCGCCTGGAGATCTAGACTTGTGTTGCTCCCATCGTACTTGAGGATCACCTCCCCAAAATAATTTCGAGCACCCAGAAAAGTGTCGAAACAGTGTCGAACGAGCACATCGCTTCCCAGGGCCCGACACGTGAAAATCCTTCAGTCTCGGTATTTTCTTAGTGTTCGAGATTCTTCCTGGTGGTCAAGGCTAAAGCAAGTTGGAACATCAGAAGTCTGAACCCCTTCCCCAGGACCAGCTTTTTGTTCCGCGTTGCTTTTTGACGGCCCCACGGGCCCAGCAAGCGCCCCAGAATAGGCCAGACGCTGCCAAAAAAACCTCCCGTCGTGACTTGTGTTTCAATTGCACTACAAATAGCGGCCGGGGCCCGCCAGAGCCCAGGACCCCTATCTTGCTGCGGCATTCTCCGAGCCGGATGGATGCGCGATGGATTCGGCGCCCGACACGAGGCAAAAATGTCCAGCGTGAAAAATTGCAACGCCCAGATCTCAAAGAATTTGGGGTCTCCCGAACTCTGGACCTCGAGGGAGCCGTTGGCCGCCGCCAGCACGGACGAGCACAGCAGCACCAGGACGTCCCTGCGGGCCTTGGCCAGGAGCCGCAAGGCGCACAGCGCGTCCCAGTGCGTCCTGCTCCCCAGCGCCAGGAACCCGGCCCAGCTCCTCAGGAGGACGTCTGGAGGAACCAAAAACACCATGAGCATGAACTTTCGGAGCTCCGCGCGGATCTCTCGGATCGGCGCTGGGCCCCCCCTGGCGGCGCCTCGGGCGCCGTTTCTGGCGCGTTCCGCGCGCAGGGAGGGGGTTCCAAAGCCGATCCAAGAAATCCGCGCCGACCTCCGGAAGTTTATCCTGATGCAGTTTCTTCCTCGAATGTCGGCGTCCAGCCTCGCCAGCCTGGCCCTGTCCTCGCTGCCCACGTAGCCGTACATCTTGTCCGCCACCGCGCTTTGCAGCAGTTGGGGTACGTGCCAGGCCAGTTTGCTTGTCTTCGCAGCTGTCGCTTCTCGAGACGAAAATCCGGAGGGCTCCCCGACGCAGCGAGCCCAATATGCGCTCCATTTGCCCGACCGAGTCTCAGCGTCGCTGGCTCTCCAGCCAAAGGCGGGGGCACCTGGGCGCTGTGTTTCTTTCTCACAGCGCAGTGCAGAGAGCATCTGGCAACAGCACCGATCGGGACAGAGTGCCCATCTGCACGCGCGAGTTCCCATGCCGGCAATCGCCAAGGGCTAGGTCGAGGATGTCCTCCTACAGAGGTGATTTAGGACAAAATGTTGAAACCAGATCAAAACAAATACGACAATTTGCTGTTTTACAACAACAACAACCACGACCACAACAACAACAACAACAACAACAACCACAACAACAACAACAACAACAACAACAACAACAACAACAACAACACCAATAACAACAACTTCAGCAACTTCAACAACAACAACTTCAACAACAGCAACAGCAACAGCAACAGCAACAGCAACAGCAACAGCAACAGCAACAGCAACCACAACCACAACCACAACCACAACCACAACGACGACAAACACGTCCCCAGAAACCATTTGTGAGATTCCTCCTGTGGAGGGACATGCCCGACGCAAGCCAAGGGCGACCACCCGCCGCACGCGCGCAGGGCGGCTGCCCCCCCCCACCCCCTGGGGGCGCCCGCCCGCTCCCGCCCCCCGATCGCGGAGCGCGGCGACGGAGGGGCGCGGCAGCGCGGCTGGATAGATGGTGTCTCTGAGGGTGGACGCGTGCCCGAGGAGCTCCTACGATTGGGACGCCCGAAATGGGCACGGAAAGAATGGGTACGATGCCCAGCAACAAATGCTGTCCCAAACCAACATCGGCCGCTGTTGGGCAGGCGGCCTTCTGTCTCAGATGGACACAGGCCGCGGCGGCGCGGACAGCGAGCCCTGTTCAAACTGAACAGAAACTGCTGTTGGGCATCGTGCCCATTCTTTCCCTTCCCATTTTTTCGGGCGTCCAGATACGGGGCTGGAAGAGCTGCACAAACACAATTCTGTGAGAGCTCCGCGCGGATGTCTCGGATCGGCCCTGGACCCCGCGCGGAGAGCGCGCCAGGGGCGGCGCCGGAGGCGCCGCCAGGGGCGCCCAGCGCCGACGCGCAAAACCCGCGCGGACCCCAAAAGTTCATGTGTACGCAATGTGTATGCAGCTGTGCCGAGGGAAGCAAAAAGGTACCGGTAAGGCTATGCTCCCCGGACCTCTTCCGGGATGCGTTCTGACCAGAATTTCGCGGCGAATCTAGCCTTGGCGAAGAGGGCCTCGACCCTGTCGGCGTGTGCGAGGAGTTTGTCTGTCAGTCGCCGTCTGCGTCGTCCCCTGCCCTGCGCCCTCCTCAAGCCTGTCAGCGAGAGAAAAACCTCGCAATGTCGTAATCAAATCGAAGGGAGGCCCCTTCCCTTTGATCCCTCCCCCGTCGAGGGGGGGGGGTCCGATGGAAGGTGTCCTGGGGAGGAGGGTGTCAGATACGCATGCTCCCCTGGGTGTCCCGGGGCTGTCCCCGAGACGGTCCAAGAGAGTACCCAATCGCCAAACGATCGGTCCAAAACGCCTTCACGATGCCAGACTGCCCAGGAGACCTCCAAGAAGCCCCAAGAGGCCTAAAGAGGCACCCATGAGAGGGCCCCAAGAGGCAAAAATCATGAATTGTCCTTAGGTGTTTGGCAGATTTGGGCGTTCTCACCTTTCTGCTTCCCGCCGCTCCACGACGGCCGAAGAGGCCCTCAAGATCGCCCCACGACGACCCAAGAGGCTTCCAAGAGCGCTGCAAAACATCCCAAGAGAACCCCAAGACAGCCCAAAACGCTTCCAGGACGGCCCAAGAGGCCCTCAAGACGGCTCCAAGAGCGTGCCTTGACGGGGAACCCGAACAGACATTTCGAGCCCTCGGCCCCGAGAAGCTTCTAGGAGACCCCAAGAGGTTCCCAAGAGGCCCCAAGACGCCCACAAGAGGCCCTCAGGACACCCGAAAAGGGCCCCCTATAGAGACTCCAAAATTCCTCCCCGGAGGCACACGAGAGCCTTCCCAAGAGACCCAAGAAGCATCCCTGAGGACTCGGGCCCACGTCAGCGTCGTCGTCGTCGTCGTCGCTGCCGCCACCGCCGCCGCCGTCGTCCACGTCCCCCTTCAGGGTCGGCGGCACTGGCCGCGAGGCCTTCGCTATCTAGCCGTGGCGACCAGGGCCTCTCAGGAGGCCCGAGAGGACGAACCCGACGGAAGGACAGCGCCTCCTCCTTCTCTTCCTCCTCCTCCTCCTGCTCCTCCTCCTCCTCGTCCTCCTCCTCCTCCTCCTCCTCCTCCTCCTCCTCCTCCTCCTCCTCCTCCTCTTCCTCCCCTCTCCCTCCTCCGAGCGCCTTCAGCTGGACCTCGCTGTGGCCCCGGCGCCCGCCGTCGCCGAGCACGCGGTGGACGAGGCGGGAGAGGTCCACGACGAGCAGCCGGGCGCTGAGGCACAGGCCCGTGGCCACGAGGGGGTGCCCGCGCTCGAGCGCCGCCACCTGCTCGCTCACCTGCCAGACGCCGAGGGGCCGAAGACCACCGGGCCGCACGGCAGCAGCACGCGCGGGAGTCTGCAAGGCGGCCCGCGCGGATGCTTCTGGGGCGCCGGCTCGCCTCGAACTCGACTGCGATCGAGCTCGTCGACGCATAGCTTCGTGGTTCTTCTTCTTCTTCTTCTTCTTCTGGCGCTGCATTGATACGCACCGCGTTTGGATGAATACTGCCGCCGCTGCCGGCGCGAAGTCCCCGCGCTGGATCGGGCGTTGCAGGGGGCGTCCCCGGCCCACGGGGTCCCCAGGAGTTCCGAGGAGGCCCCGACAGCCTCCCGAGCACCCCTCGCGAGTCCGCTGGCCCGGGCGGCTGCGCTGCCTCCGCTCCAGGGGTGCTACTCCCCAGCGCCGTGGCGCTGGAGTTCGACGGGGTGGTCTTCCTGCCTGAGTGCGTCGACCCCCTCGGTTACAAGGCGCCACCTTTGCCTGGGGAGAGCCTTTTGAGCGAGCAGGAGGGCGAAGGAGAGGAGGAGGAGGAGGAGGAGGAGGAGGAGGAGGAGGAGGAGGAGGAGGAGGAGTAGAGAGGAGGAGGACGGGAGAGGAGAAGGAGGAGGAGAGGAGGAGGAGGAGGAGGGGGGAGGAGGAGGAGAAGGAGGGGGAGAGGAGGGGGAGGAGGACCGAGGAGGAGGAAGGAGGGAGGAGGAGGAGAGGAGGAGGAGGGGGGAGGAGGGGCGGGGAGGAGGAGTAGGAGGAGGAGAGGGAGGAGGAGGAGGAGGAGGAGGGGGATGAGGCAGGGATGAGGAGAGGAGGAGGAGGAGGAGGAGGAGGAGGGAGGAAGGCGGGGAGGAGGAGGAGGGGAGGATAGGAAGAAGGAGGAGGAGGAGGAGAAGGAGGAGGAGGAGGAGGACGGAGCGAGGGGGAGGAGGGAGGACGTGGAGGAGGAGCATGAGGAGGGAGGAGGAGGAGGAGGATGGAGAGGCGGGAGGGGGAGGAGGAGGAGGCGGAGGTAGAGGAAGGAGTGCGGAGGAGGGGAGCTCCGACAGCCTCTAGAGGCCCCCAGCGACAATCGGAGGACGCCTCGGGCCAGGGACCCCTCTGGCCACCCGCCGCTGGACGCGCCACCCCTTCCGCGGCCCTTCCCCGGCGCGCTCCCACGGAGTGCGGGCAGGGCGAGCCCGGCGCCGCCCCGAGAGAAGTCCGCGCGAGCCCCGGGCACCACCGCGGGGCAGCGAGGCCCCGGACAGCATCGGGCCTGCGCAAATCTACAGAAGCCCAGGGACACACAAACCCTCCTGTCCTCCTCTTCCCCCTCCTCCTCCTCCTCACTCCTCCTCCTCCTTCCTCCCCCTCCTCTGCTCTCCTCCTCCTCCTCCTCCTCCTCCTCCTCCTCCTCCTCCTCCTCCTCCTCCTCCTCCTCCTCCTCCTCCTCCTCCTCTTGCTCCCACTACTCTTGCTCCTTTTCTGCCTCCTCCTCCTCCTGTTCCTGCTTCCCCTCGTTTTCATATTCGTCGTCTTCAGGGTCGGCGGCACTGGCCGTAAGGCCTTCGCAATCTACAGGGGCCCAGGGACACACAAACAAATAGACACAAGTCCCAAGATTCTCCACATGTTCCCGCATTCTCGTTGTGTCTGTGTCTTCGCCCCCTTGCGAAGATCGAAGATCTCTGAGATCCGGCGGCTCTGGAGCACGCATCGGGGCGCCCTTACGGAGCGCCCTGGGCGCTCTGAGAGCGCTCCAGAGCGCTCTGGAACAGGACGCTCCAGTCCTAGGGCGCCGCACGATGGTGATCCGCAGGGGTTGCTTGGATCGGCGTTGGACCCCCCCCCCGCCACAACCTCTCCCCGGCGCGCGGAGCGCGCCAGGGGTGCGGGCAGGCATGGTGCACAGGGGCTCCCAACTTCGCGCTGCGTGTGTCTCGCGAAGCGCGAAGAACTTCGCGCCCTCGCGCCGCCACCCCCCCAAAGGGAGGAAAGGAGGACGAGGAGGAGGGGGAGCAGGAGCGAGGACCGCGAAGCGCGAAGCGCGAATAACTTCGCGCCCTCGCGGGAGCCCTTGGTGCAGCGCCGCCTCGAGAGACCCAGGCCAGCCTCCGAAAGCACATGCGTCTGCAGCTCCTGGTGGTCTTCGGGAAGAACCTCGAGGAGCCAAGACAGGGGGGGACTGGCTCGGGGGGGGAGCATCGACCTGGAGTGGGCGACACGTCATCGGTGCATCGGCGACAGGCCTCCGACGGCGAATCCACACGTTCCCAGGCGGAGCAGGGGCTACCAGACCCCTTATGGGCGATCAGTGGACGATAGGGGGCAGATGCATTCATTCCCCCCCTGAGCCCGCGCTCTGGTGGTGCTTCGGCCCGTAGCTCGGCTCTGCGGCGGCCGTTCGGGACGGCCCGGGCACCCCAGGAACGCCCTCGGCGAGGCGCGGCTGCTGGAACGCGTCCTGAGGCTGTGAGACAGCAGAGAGCCGACGAAAACGCCCGACCACCTCGAACCTGAAATTCCTGCCTCACCCCGGAGCCTTTCCTACTCCTAGGGGACCACATGCGAACCCTACCCCCTCCCCCCACGCTTTCTGAGGGGGAGGGTGGGGCTCACTTCGTTCGGGAGCTCCCGAGCGAAGTGAAACCCACCCTCCCCCTCGGAAATCGTGGGGGGTAGGGCCAGGGCTCGCATGTGGCCCCCTACCTGCCTCACCCCGGAGCCTGTCCTGACCCCCCTGCCGTTGCCCCAGGAACGCCTCTCGGTGACGCGCTCGTCGGCGCAGTCCGGGCACAGCTCCAGCAGCCGCGCCACCAGCGGGCCCGGGGTGCGGCCCGCGCGCGCGCAGGCGCCCTTCGGTGCGGCCCCCCTCGTTGAGCAGGGACCGACCGTCCCGGCATTCCTATAGGCCTACTACGAGACGTTCTTGTAAGAACAAAAGCCATGACGTGTTAAAACAAGGCAGTCCCAGCCGAAATATGTTCCAAGAGCATCTGGTGGAGACCACAAAAGGTTCTTAGAACATTCGTTGGTGGGCCCAGAAGCAAGCCGGGACGCTTCGCAACTGCTCGACCTCGGCCTCGAGGCCAGCTCCGCGAGCAGGCCCTCCGCGCCCTCCACGGCGACCTGCAGCTCGGCCTGCTTTTGCTCGAGCTCCTCTGCGAGAACGGTACCCGCGTGCACCGTACCATTCTTGAGTTCTCTCCTCCCCCTCCTCCTCCTCCTCCTCCTCCTCCTCCTGCTCCTGCTCCTCCTCCTCCTCTCCTCCTCCTTC